TAAACATTAAAAATACCTTATTTTTTAAGGATAAAAAGACCTAAATAAGCCGTTTAAGCACTTTTTTTAGGGCTTATTAAAGTTAGGCTTCAAAATCTAATTTTTCTAAAAACATCATTTGTTAAGCTCAAATTTTTATAAAAACAAACTTAAACGTGTGGTGTGCCAAGTTCCACTCTTATTTCCAACTCTTTGTATATGCATACAACTCAAAATCAATGATTTTAAATAATTGAAGGGCAGTGAATTGACCACCTCGCTTTAACATATTTTTTAGGGAAAAATACAAATACTTTTGTACAATAAATTTATTTATAAATAAATTTTATAAAATTTAAAAACTATAACCAAGTCTCTTGAGACTTGAATGTGATTTGTGGTTGGAGTACAACAATGATACTACCTTTATTAATTTAACTTTCACTTACAACCATAATTTTACAATTTACAATTGAAAATTTGTAATTCATAAGTCAAACTTTTTTGACACTAATATAACATGGAGTCTCTATAGAATTAATTATGTTTCATTAAGCTGTAATTACAAAGTAAATTATGAGTATTATATATAAATTATGCCAAGTATAGCCTTAAGTAGACATAATTAATTCCATGTTATATGAAATGTTAAATAAAAGTTTGACTTATGAATTATAAGATTTTATTTGTAAATTGTGAAGCTATAGTTATAAGTGAAAGCCAAATTAATAGAAATAATAATATCCTTGTAACCCAACTATAAATTGCACTTAAATTTCAAGAAACTTAGCTATAATTTTTAAATTTTATAAAACTTATTTATAAATAAATCTACGGTACGGTACGAGACTTATTCGTAATTTTTCCTATTTTTTAAGGTATTGTTTGAGCCAATATGGCCTTCTAGCCATCTGGCTTAATGGTGTAATACTTTTTTTTTTTTTGGGCCTAAAGCTAACAGTTTCAATTAATTCAAATTGATTTCAATTAAGATTTTTTGAATGAAAATTTTACCACCAAATGCCGTTATATTTCAAGACTTGAAATTGAAATTTCTAATCAAGAAGGCGTAACTCTCTTACTAATTGAATTGATGGCTTGTTAATTGTAATGCTAGCTCTCCCTCTCCCTCACTCTCTCTCTCTCTCATGTTATTCATAAATATTTTTTTATTGGAGGAAATACTATTCGAGATATTATTGAATATAAAAAATGAGCACATTTCCTAACATAAATTTGAACCTAGGTTCACTATGTTGTAAAGAATTATCTCCCTTTGCTGGGCACAATTTCATTAACTGTAATATTAGGTAGCTCTTTGTGATGCTAGATTGTGAATTCAATTTGACTTGACATTGTGCTGTTGTAACAGTAGTAATAACAATATTCTAGTATTATTTATAGAATGGAAAGAAAAAAATTAATTTTAATTCTATTTATAGAACATTTTACTTTTTTTATATTTATATTTATTTTTCTGTCTTTATTAAATATAAAAAAATTATTAAATTTTTTTATTCTTATTAAAAAATAGGAGTGAGAATTTATTAAATTTTAAGATAAAGTTAATAAATTTTAATTTTTTTTAAATTTTGATAAAGCACGTGAAATTGATTTATAAATGGGGCATGGGAGAATAATAAATATTGCCTATGACTTTTCTTATGCTTCCACGATCGAAGTTATGGCTGACTAAGGAAGCAAGAGAGAAGAAGGAATAGAAGGCGCGGAATTAGGAATGCATAATTTTTTTTTTTAAGGAATTATAAAATTCATTTTAATTTTTTTACTTAAAGTAAGAACACGTCAAAATAAAGTTACAAACTTTTGTTGGCCAAAAAAAAAAAAGATAAAGCTATAAACTGTCTCAATACGTAATCGCTTTATTTAATGATGCACCAAGCCACCAACCTTGTGGATGTCTATATATGAATAAAAAAATTTTATTGAAACTACTAGTTTTTCTCAATTCAATTCAATTAACTAAGCCAGTCCTACAGGTTTTGTAAGAATAAATTTCAATTTCAATACGTGGTTGATACATGTAAATATTACAAATGCATGACAATTATCATTCAGTTAAACTTAGATAAGGTGATATGTTTAGAATTAAATTTTAAGATCTAAAGATATAATTGTTACAAGATTAATAATTATAGATCAAAGTGACATTTATAATAAGTTACGGAGCAAATTACAAGATCCATAAATCCATAAATTAAGTTCATGGTTTTCATATTGGCTACGCACAATAAGATCTTCGATCTTGATCCATTCTTAAAGAGTACTTGTTAGATTTTGATAGACCACAAGTTGTCAAGTTAAAAGAGTATACTGTATGCCCATTTGAAAATACAAAATTATTTTTTAATCAACTGATCTTGGTGCCTGTTTGGACAATGAAAACAATCAATTCTAAAAGCTCAAGCCTCAAACTATGGTTAATAAATCAAAACACTCCTGGATAGTTGTAAATCACGCAAAATCATCAAATGTCGTCACCTTAATTATTTCTAATTTTTAAATTAGAATTTGGTTGCAAAATTTGTAATTTCAGAAAAATATTGTTGATAATATTTTATTTTCAGATTTTAATTGGAAATATCTATACGTCAAGAATCAAATCAAATTATAAAGATTTTATAAAGAGCATATATTATTTTTTTGGTCAGTTACAATAATAAAAAAGTAATTATTAATTAATTATTTTTAAATTTTATGATATCTTTCTTGATTTCTGGTTTATAAAAATAATTTATTATTATATTATTTTAAAATTTTATGATACCTTTATATATTTCTTCTCTTTAAAATATTTATTTTCATCTATCACATTAGATTATTTTTATAAGCTACTTAAAGTAGCTTATTGAGTATCTTTTTAAAATAATAAAAAATATTTTTTTAGATTTTGATTATTTTTAAAAGTTTAAACAAACATTATAAAAGTAATTTTTTAAAAAAGAATAAGCTGAGAGCTATAAGAGAAAACTTATGACTGAATAGATTAAAATATCTCATCCATAACAAGTTAAATTAAGAATATACCTCATCACACAATAATATAATACGTTTTCTTAAATAACTTGCTTATTGGTCAAACACAGGACATTGAATATGTTTTATAATATATGTATACATATATTGAATTATATCCTTAGTTTATTATATTTCACTCAAATAATTAATGAGAATGTTTAGAATACAAATATTATATTTATTTTAATCAGGGTATGATTGAAAAAATATAATTTCTTTTAGAAAATCAAGATTTTACTATTTTAAAAAAATATAAATTAATTAACAATAATTTATATGGTAGTTTAGAAGAAGCAATTTATAAGAATTAAATTGATAGATATTTTATATGCTTAACAATATTTATTAACAAAGAAATTAACAATATTCACTTCACAAGTTGGGAATACAGGTCATGTTATATGGGATTGCTTGAAGTCATAAGAGTTATATTTGGTTGGAAAAAAATAATTCAAATAAAAATGAGCTTTTTTTAGCCTACACCATATAATTGGGCCAATCTTGACGTATCAGGATTGAGCCATTTAACCCATATTTTTTTAAAAAAAGAAATAAAGGGAAAAAAATTTGTGAGTATAAACTATATTGGACATGACTTAATCAACTAAATCGATTCATATGTTTTATACAAATATTATAGATTAACATTTTGATACATTTAGAATGAATCATGAAGGAGTATCAAATTAAAACTTATTATTTATATGTATTTTTTTAAAATTCATGAAAAAAAAATGGGTTAGCTAACCCTTTTGGTTGAAATTTTTTTAATTTATATAAAATTAGATTAAACTCAACCTAATCCATATGATTTAGATTGATCTACATTTTCAAGTTTACTAGTTCACAGTTTATAGTTAGAAAAGTCAAAATACCATGAATGCGGATCAAATAGATGGCTTTAAGTCTCAGTCACCTCTGGTTAAAAAGAAAAAAAAAAAAAAAGTCTCAGTCACCATCTGACGGTGTTCCTAGGTCACGCGGCAAACAAATCTCTCACTCTATTTGTTTTTTCGTTGACCAGTCTCACTCTTGTTTTTATGGCTAGGTCAGGAGTCCTATTCAATTAATCTAAACATGCATGCATATAATCAACATTAATATTTATGTATTTGAAAAAATTAGTGATTGATACTATTATCTGTAAGACTTGTACTTCATTCTTATTTACTCTCTAGCCTCCATCTCTTTGTACATTAGTCAACTCATTAAACAAAGAGAAAATCTAATATGAAATCGTGAAACATGTTAAACCGCATGTCCAATCCAGTGTGCGAAGACCAACTCAGTTTTGAGTTTTGACAAGTGGTGACGGACGCTGATGGTTTAAGATTTTTTTTTTTTCCTTTTACATTGATTTAGTTGTTATAATATATTTAAAAAAACATATCTTTTAATTCCTGTATTTTACTTATATTTTATTATTAATTTTAATATTTTTTTTGATATTTTAAATCCTCTTATTTTCATTTTTTTGGTATTTTATGTTTATTTAATATTTTTATATTTTATTCATTTAGGATTTTAAAAAACTAAAAAATAAAAATATAGAGACTCAGAATATAAAAAAAATTTAGAGATTTATAATAAAATATGAATATAAATTATGTGTTTTTTTAGTATATTTGAAATCAATGTATGAACATTAAAATGTGTACAATTTGTGTACTGCCATAAAATTTAATCGAATGTGTAAAACAATCTCAAAAGTATATTTGATCGACACATGAAGTTTATAATCATAATTATTTAAAAATATTTATTTTTTTGGGGTCAATGTTCAGGATTGCTTCGACCCATAGTAATTTGTCTTGGTTTCAACAAGGAATCTAGTTGTTGCGACTTGCGAGAGCAAATTTTATTTCATGGATATATTATATTAGAGTGGAATTCTCACCCGTTGCCTATAGATCAGCGCTCACGAATGTCGCTTTCTTCTTCGTTGTCGTTGTCGTTGTCGTTGTTGTTTTTTTTTTTTTGCCCCCGTCTCTCTCGCTTTTCCAATGTCGCTTTCTTCCAGGCTCATTAGTGTGCCTTCAAGTGTCCAACCACGTTCCACCACATATGCGGTTAATAATATCTCGTTCGACTTATGCGATCAGCAAACTGTGTCAGCTGTAAGCTCAGCATCCATTGTTAACTCCGAGTTCCCTGAAGCTTCAATCATTGAATATATCATTGTGTAGTGTATTTGTATAGTTTCGACGAGTTTCCTTGTGGTGGTTCTTGCTGCTTCCGGGAGGAATATGCAGGTTTTTAACTTCTTTGAGCTATTACTTCTGGCATTAACTTGCTTCCAGTTGCTGGGAATTTCTCATGAGTCTAGATTACCTCAAGATGAAGGTACGCCTCGATTTTTTTGGCCGTATTTCAAGCGGGACGACCGCTGCTGAGAAAATTAGAAGTATCATAATGCTGGGTTCGATCTTTGAAGTGGTTGTTTCTGTTTCACTTTCATTATCCAGGAATACACTGGAAGCTTTATAAATTTCATTCTTTGTACGTCTTGATTAATTTGACCCTTTGTCGGTCCTTTTTTTTTGGGGGGACTTGAAGATGAAAGGGTTAGTTCAATTGATTCGATTGCAGCTTTGCCATCTTATTTGGTCCTTCTATTTTTTCTTGAATGAAAGAATTCTGCTCAAGTTTTTCCCGATATATATTGAATTTAATTTAATTAGATATTGCGAATCTTAGTTACGTTTACCCTTACTCACTTTGACCAAGTTATGTTTTGAGTTATACTGGATTTCATGTGTTACTTGCTTCTAGGAAGAAAATATAATTAAAAGAGACATATTTTATTTTTGGGAAACAAGAGAACATGAGATCAAAGATTTTAAATAAATAAAAAAAATAATATGAGATGAACGAAAAGTATGAGGTAATTTAGGAAACTCCACTTTGTAGCAGACGCTAGTGTACCTGGCTGCTGAGTCAAACTCTTTAGCCATGTAAACGAGTGCATGATCAATTAACCTATTGCTAGAGATGCTAAATATTTTGTCGAATAGAAGATTACCGAGAACTTGTAATCTAATTACTAGTTATCTTTATATTAATTTTACTTCATACGTGCATCCAAATACTTTTCCTTTTCATTCTATTTTGTTCTCTGGCAGAGCTTGTAATGTTGAGAACTCGTGAATTTCAGTACAATATTTCTGCAACAGGATTTCAAAATTTGGATCCAAATTGAAGTTGTTTGTTATCATCAATAAAATTTGCTGCAAATTGGCCATTCGCTAGTGAAGAAACAGAAAGTTTTTTTTTTTTTTTTTTTTGGGGTGGTTCACTCTTCAAACACTTATGTATCTCACCTGAGCAACTCGTCGTAAGTTCTTGGTTTTGTACTTCTGTTTTGGCAGTATAAGATTTTGTTCTTGGATAGGCAGATAGATCACAAGAAAGATTGTTTCAGAAACTCTTTAATTCTTTACTTTTCTCACTTTAGACTACTGTTCCCTAATTTCAGTTACAGAGGATTGGCTGCTTTCTAGACTTCTAGTTGACTTAATTGGATTATCCTTTTTAATGGACAGACCCTCAGATTAGCATCGATATGCCTTACTGATGTAACACACACTAACACAGTGCTGGACAGAGGGAGAGAGTAGGGAGAAATAGAAACAGAGGGAGGAAGAGATTAGAGGCAGAAACAGACGGGAGAGAGCAGACAGAGAAAGAAGAAGAAAGGGGGAGACAGGGAGACAGACGCAGAGAGAGAGAGAGAGACTGAGGGAGAGCTTCAGAAACTCAATCACATATTGCATTTATCGAAAGTCTCCTTACAAGAGCAAAGCCTAATCTATTTAAACTAAACTTTCCTACCTATTAAGGAAACCTTAATAACTTGGCTAGATAAAGCTAACGTTCAGATTTCTCTCTTTACAAAAGTATTAAAATAATACAAAAGCAACTTACTTCTTTCGTGATAGGTTTCTTACAAGCAACATACAATGATAATAAGCTACTAGCACAGTTAGTGTGTGTTGCCCTTTTTTCTACAATATGTCTCGTGTCTCATTCATACGACTAAGAGTCTTAAATTTGTTCTTTGCTCCCTCTGACACGTGCACATGCATTTGCATTTGTATACAATCAAACCTTACAAATTGATCATGAATGCCATTTAGTTGACGCACTTCATGAAATTACAAGAACAATGGGGGCTACCTATTGGAAGTTTAATGATTCCTGTGGAATTGATATGGTTGGAGTAACAGCGGAACTCTCTCCTGAATCAGAGAGAAGACTAGATTGTGACTGCAGATTTGAAAACAACACAGTCTGCCATGTTGTAAAGATGTATGACTTCCTATTTATCTTTTTTCTATAGTCTTAAGTTTTTGGTAAGCTTATATATGCGTATGTATGTATTTGCGTGTGTGTGTGTGCATGTGTGAAATTTCCCGATCAAGCTTGGCAATTCTACATCTTAGACTTGTAAGTGATCTGAGAATAAAATAGTGAACATGACAAACTTCCATGGGAAACCTGAAAATTTAATTTTCAAAACCAAAGGGCCTACTTCTACAATATACATCCTTATAATCATTGAATGAAGTCTTATAACCCAATTGCATTTTGCTGTGTTTAGGACTCTCAAGCGCCTTAGCCTCCCTGGCATGCTCCCACCTCAACTGGTCAAGCTGCCCTATCTTCGAGAAATGTACAAGCAACTTAAAATACATACTTATTTGTTGTTAAAATTTGCAATGGCCTTAACACCTTGTGCTGATTTTATTCCTGCTATAATCTTAAAGTTCTGTGTTTTTTAATGTTTGTGTTTCCAAAACTCTCAGCAGTTGAAAAATTGTTGTTTCTTTTATTGGCAGAGATTTTGCTTACAATCTCTTTACTGGTTCAATTCCAAAGGAATGGGCTTTAATGAATTTAACTTCAATGTGAGTAATTGCCAGCAACTTGGAGATTGTGAATATATTTTCTTTCATCATTAATTCTTATGTCATGCTGACTACATATTACCTATATCATGCAGCTCTCTTCTTGTGAACCGCTTATCTGGGGAAATTCCCAATCATCTAGGAAATATTACTTCTCTCACATACCTGTATGTTTCAAGCTTTCATTAATAACACACGCCCACACACACACAATGAAAGTATAGTCTATTGTGTTCATTATGAGTAAGGTCCACTCTAAAGGTTTCATTTTGGAAGAGCCTCGAATTTACATTCTCTCAGAAGTTTGTGTATTTTCCATAAAAAAAAATTTGGACTAGGATGCTTGAAGCAAACCAATTTTCTGGTGTCATTCCTCCTGATCTTGGGAGTCTAATCAACTTGCAAACGTTGTAAGATATCTTATTTCCATTTCTACTTTTTCAAATTTTTATCTGATATTCCTATTGTTGGACTGCCTTGGAAAGATATGATATGATGTAGCCTGACAATTTATGTCTACAATTATACCAATGAAGGGTACTGTCATCCAATAAATTGACTGGGAGCTTACCAGGGGAACTTGCTGGGTTACAGAATTTGACTGACTTGTAAGCTTTCATTGTGTTTCTTTCTCCTTGTAAGACAAATACTGAACTTCTGATACTTGTGTGTGATGCATAGAAGTCTTTGTGGCCTTGCAGTAGGATAAATGATAACAACTTCAATGGAACCATACCTAACTTTATACAAAACTGGAAGCTTCTCCGAAGATTGTGAGTTTCTATTTCCTTTTTCTTTTAAAATACTTTAACTGTACTTTGGTTGGGAAATATATGATCCCTGTAACATTCACTAAATCCATACTCATTTAAGTTCTTATTGATTAAGAGAAATGCATGCAAGTGGACTGGAGGGACCAATCCCATCAAATATATCACTTTTGGAGAACTTAGCTCAGTTGTAAGTAAAACAACCCTTGTCTTATTATAGTTTTATTTCTACTTCTGTTTTGTTTATGATATTTATTGTATGGCTCATGGTACAAAATCTTTATTCAGGAGAATCAGTGACATAAATAGTCCTAGTCAAGGTTTTCCTTTGCTGGAAAACATGCCAAAAATGGAAACATTGTATGTATGCTGCTCCTGGTGTTGAATATATATGCACTTTTTATTTAATGTGATTTTTTCTTCTTTAATTTGTTGGCTAGAAGTTTAAAGCCTTTTTGTTTTTAAGAGTTTTGAGGAACTGTAACCTTACTGGGGAGATACCTTTATACATCTGGACGATGACGAATTTGGCAACATTGTAAGTAAAGAATGTATGGTTTCTTTGCCTACAACATTCTTAATCTGCATCTATGTGTACCTGCTTCTTTTTCACCAAAAATAAAAAGGAACCCGTTTCTGTAAATTAATTTTCCTGCAAAATGATGTTTGACAAATGCTTATTGTTACTAAATGCATCAAAATCAATGATATTTTATTTGTAATTGTATTGATCATTAAATATCCTTCTAGCATTGAGATGATTGGAAAAAAAAAAAATCATGATGCTTTGTGTCAGCATACCGTGACTTGAGTCCACAATGATGATTTCTTACTTGATTTTATGGTTCTAGCTCGTTTCTGTTGATTGAAATATAACAATATAGAAAAATATTCCAGGGTGACTGGAGAGAGAGGATTTTTTTTCTTCTAATAATATGATAAGAAATCCATGGTTTTAAAGGGAAAAGGAAGAGAGGTCACTGTAGAAAGCTACGAGGAGTTTCTTAATCATGTTTCCTACTAGCTTTTTCTATAACATAAATAACAACAATATTCTCCCTCTTTTTTAATGTGAATTATAACAATATTCTTTATTTGCTGCAAAGTTCTAAATCAGAACAGTGGATAACTAACTCTGAAGTCAGAAATTGAGTAGGCAACTCTTCCGAACATACAAGTACATTATAAAAATCAGTATGATACATTTATATTTTGAGACAATGACTTGCTGAGTGACTTATGCTAAGTGATGCATTGACAGAAATTGAAAGAAATTTGATTGTCCAGCAAAAAAAAAAAAAAATCTCAATTTTCCAGGCACATTAAGATTAACTAAATTGAGGACACACGAGAAAAAGTGGTATGGTACCTATTAAGGAAAAAATAATAGAAAATTGTTTGAGATGATTTAGACATGTATAAAAAAGATTGCGGGAGATACCAGTAAGAAGAGTGTAACGGATAATTTTAAGCATTGTTAAGGGGGTAGAGGAAGGCCAAAAAAAAACTTTTGGAAGTTGTTGACCAAGACTTATTGGTTAATAATATTTCTAAAAGCTAAATAAATGATAGAGCACAATGGCATTATACAATCTATGTAGCCAACTCAACCTAGTGGGATAAGGCTTCTTGTTGTTGGTGTTACTGTTGTATTAAGATTAACTAAATTATTAAACCATCTGTGTTGGTATCTTACTAGTTGTTTAGTTCTATTTTTACCCTCAACCCATAAAAAATGCTTCTATTAAAGGAAGATTACTAACCACTAGTAATAGTGTAAATCAGCATGAGCAAGTTTAAGAATGATATAACGATATTCCTCACTTTCCTTATTTGTTTTAAATTGATAGGGATCTCAGCTTTAATAAGATAGTTGGGCACATTCCACCAGTTATAAATACCAGACGTCTGAGATATATGTAAGTGTCTTACTTTAAATTGTATTGCATTTTGTTTACACTTGACTGGTAAATTAAAAATGAAAAGCGATATGAAATTGTGTAAAGCCTATTTAGACATGTGCTATGATACAATCATTCTGAAATGACATGTTATCAACCTGATTTCATGATTGCGTATCCTTTTTGGTTTAGGATCATGTCAGGGTCATATTTCTTCACTATTCAAAGTTAGTAATTGCTTTTATGTTCAAATGTTGACATGATTTATTAGACTGTTTGGCATTGCTTGTCTTAGGTACCTTACAGGAAATATGCTAAGTGGAAATGTACCAAAATTCTTGAAGGGTGGAAGTAGCATGTAAGTTTTTTGAGGTTTTCATTGTACTACAAGGTTGTAGATTTGAAATGTTCAGTTTGGCTGTAAGCAAAACTGGAAGTTGAATTCGCAGATATCTTCTTTCACTTATCGTGCATGTGTTTGACCTGGATTTCTCCTTACTTTACACATCATGCATCTTTGTTACATCTAGATTTGCTTGCATTATTTGGCGATTGATTTGCATAATTGCATTGTTAATACATGCAATTGGCTTATCCTTCTCTTTCACGATTTCAAAGTAAAAAGGACAAAAGGATAGTTGACAAGCAACTAGCCTCTCTAATTCTCATCAATTAATGCAATTATAAGGTGTCCAACGCATCATTCCTGGTTGACTAAAATAGTAGTCTTCCTGTTTATTATAGTTTCTAGCCCTTGCTTATAGGTTTTATATAATAATAAATTATCCATCATGTCTGGATCCACATTAAAAAGGAAAAAAAAATCAAATCGTTATCATTGCATAAGAAAATACAAATATGGAATTCTCCTGCTCAGTGTATATTTTTATTGATTTATTTAAACGTCAGATGTCAATTACAAAACTGAGCAAATGAGCTCCTGTAGAAATGAGGCAGCTGTGTTACATCATAGAGAGTAATTAAACCATATCATGTGACTCAGTCAAAAATATCAAAGGAAAGAGAATTTGTGTGATATGGAATTCTTTGGTGTATAACTAGGAATCGTCCTACTTTAGACTTTCCATTTTGGGTTCTGTGTTTCAATCTGTTGAAGTTGCATTGAGACTGTACCCGTGTGTTGCAATGTATGTTTTTTTCCTTTTGCCTCCTTAATGTTTTTTATTGTCATTTTGATGGAGTCCCACATTAGGGAGCCATGGGTAATCCATGTGATACTGGAGGAGCATGATTCTTTCCTCTTACAATTTACAACCAAGTTTTAAGTGTGGACTCTTTGCTTGATTATGTCTTTGTCAATTGGTATGAAGTTGGGACTTAACTTCATAAAAAGGGCTACTCAGTGTAGGGTGTAACTTGGTGAGCTTGGGAGGAAAGTACAACCCTACTTTTGGAACATGTTAGCTAGTGTGGGCACCCCAAATTGTGGTGACTAGAGTGAATGCTGCAAAGGGCCTCCTCAAGGATGTTGGCTCGTCAAGAGTGGTTCTATGATAGAGTCCTACAATGAGAAGCCAAGGATGTGTTGCAAGTTAAGAGTGTTCCAGAATGCAGTTGTCAAGCACATTGGTTCATTAAAGGTGGTGGCTATAGTGGAATCTCACATGCCATGAGTAATTGATGCAAAACAAACACACACACGCACACACACTAGTACAGATCTGAACAGAGGGAGGAATGAGAGAAGAAACAGTAACAGAGAATGTGAGAGAGGAGACGAGAACAGAGGGAGAGAAGAAACGCAGAATTGATAGGGAGGGGGAGCAGAGAAAGAGAGAGACACAGAGTTGAGAGAGAGAGCATTCACAATAACTTCAGAAATTCATTCATTCCATCTCCTCAAGTTACATTTCAGCATCCTATTTATAGGCACGAGGTTTCCTTCTCCATGAGGAAACCTATACCACTTGCTAATTAAAATGATCCCACTTGCTGCAAAAGGAAACTAACAATCAGAAGTAATGTAAAAGTAACATAGCTATTACTTATCTCCTTCTAAAATAATATTTTTCATATTTCTTATCAGTAATCTATGTTGGAATCTTGGTACTGAATGGGCATATTTCTTCCCCTTACTAGCCAATTTTAGAGGGAGTTTGGTTCACAAAACTTTCATGTGGTAGGAATGTGACTCCTAGGAATATGACATAAAGCTGGTTTTCCCCCTGCTTGCATAGGTCTCTATTACAATTCCTAAGGTTTAAGAGCCAAGCAAGAGGGAGAGAGAAGGGGGAGAGAGGGATATTTTGTCTTGACATCGAGCATTGTTAATCCATTCCCTTGATGGGATTCATTGGTCATCATACACAATAATGATGCCAGAAATTAATTGTTCATGTCCAACATTCTGTATAGGTTTTGTTTGATATACTACAGAATAGAAGAGCATAAAGGAGGCTTACAAAAAATGTTAAGCCTTTGTTGGTAACGTAATTTTCTTTTGACAAGGAGGAACTTAATTAACAAAGCACTAAAGTGCGTAAGTTGAAGTGCCCATATAAATTGCAATAAAACACTAGATGCCAAGTGTGGTATCTTCTGCTGGATGTCCTATGTTTCATGTTTTTTTTCCCTCAGTCAGAGGACATTTAAATTGGACTGTTTAAGATGGCCTTTTCTTCTTTGTTAATGATATAAAATGATTAATTGGATTTACTGTTGAAAATATTATTGTTTATGTTAACAATATAATTATACTAATTTAGGATGTCTATTTATTGTTCTGACGGAAGTTCCCTTGTTGGACCAGCGATCTTTCATACAACAACTTTACTTGGCAAGGTCATGAGCAACCTGCTTGTCAGAATAACAGGTCAGAATGTGAAAGCATTTGTAATCTGGAGTTTTTATCTTTAATATTTCAAAATTCGCTTTTTCTTATACTGAAAACTGTTTCATGCTGTTTCACTTGGTCAGGAACTTGGATCTGAATTTGTTTAGAAGCTTTAGAAGGAAGAACAAGTTGTAAGGTTCTCTTCTCTTGATTCTTTTGTCGAACGAAAGAAACTGAAAATATTCTTATTTGTACATCCTTCTCTTGGCAGAGAAGAATATGTCCCTTGCTTAGAGAACTTCAGTTGTCAACAGTGTAAGTGCGTGCTCTTTTGGATATCAATATCATGAATTATTTTACAACATGAATTTCACTTGAAGTCTTGAGCTTTTGTTTATTTATTGTCAGCTTCAACATTATGGACGACAATTACTTAATTTTGGAAACTTGCATGTCCTGGCATAGTTTCAAAAATGATAAAGAATGGTGCTTTGCTGCAGCAACCAAAGTTCACCAATACTAGTCCTTTCTCTCAAAAAATGAGATGCTGAATAATATTCAGCCACGAGTCTATTTGATTTTGAATGTTTATAGAACCAAATGAGTTCAGGTGTCATTTTTTCAATCACTATTAAATTGACTAGAATAATTTATCACCTGCATTGCAGAGAAATGTTTAAATTAAAAAAAAATGAAACGCACCAATTATCTTCCTTTATATATATATATATATATAATGGATAAACTAAAAGGTGAACAAGTTTATTTATTGACAATGTAGACTGACAAGATATTAAGAATAACAAGAATAGTAAAGGTAGAACTTGTTTATATATAGATATGTGTAGATTCTCTTCAAAGCTTATCTCAAGCTGTTATAAGAAGTTTGCCACTTTATCTATTCTTGATGGTTATATAACAATATAATTTTTTTAGAGTATATTTCATTATTTCTTGATATAAACTGTAAACAAATGTTTTAGCTGTAACTGTTTCTTTTCTTTTAATTTTTTGTTTTTTTTTTTTAAATCTTGGTGAGTGGACTGGAGTGATTTCTTAAGATCAAATTAATACTAGTGTTTCTGGTAGCTTAGAAAATTGCTATATATAATATAAATGCTCAAGAACAAAGATATAATGTTTTGGTTGCTATGAAATTCTTCTAAATGAGTCGTTATGCACGATCAGCTTAAACTTAAAATTTTGCACTTTGCTTAGCAAAAATGCAAGTTTCTCCTTCTCATGCTATCTTTGTTGTCTTGGGTCAGATTCAACCTGTTTACACATAAATAGTGGTGGGATAAATGTAAAGGTGACAGAAAATAAGGGAGAAACCCTTTATTTAGGGGATGGAAATGTTGGTGGTGGTGCAGCAACATATCACTATAGCAACACTTATAATTGGGGGTTCAGTAGTACTGGAGACTTCATGGATGATTTTAACTCCCAGAACATAAGATACATCGTATCTCTGCCATCTTCAAATATGCCTAAACTATATACAACCGCTCGTATTTCTCCACTTTCACTTACTTATTTCCATAATTGCATGGAAAATGGGAACTACACTGTAAATCTCCACTTTTCTGAAATACAGTTCACAAATGATAATACATACACAAGTCTTGGGAAGCGCATATTCGATATCTATGTTCAGGTAACTGGCGAAATTGATGATTTAGCTTTAATTTCCAGATCAGGATTTTAAAGTGCAACCTTGTTTCAGGAACAATTAATTTGGAAGGATTTTAATATTGAGAGTAAGACAACTGTTGCTCGAAAACCACTGATACAGCCAATACATAATGTCAGTGTCACAAATAATGTTTTGGAGATTCGGTTCCAATGGGCTGGAAAAGGAACAACTAGAATTCCTGATATCGGAGTTTATGGTCCCATTGTGTCAGCATTATCTGTGGTTTCTGGTAAGTTATTTGGATGAATTCTCCCTTTTGTTTGTTTTTGTGTTTTGTATTACTGTCATCCTTATAGCATGGCATCCTTGGTGCATTTTAGTGTAACAAAAATGCTGTACCACTACAGTCTCACACGCTTCATTTGCTTCTAGCCTTTAGGGGATCTATATGACTCTTCAGAAACCTTTTTTTGGTCAGTTTAAATGTCATTGTGGTGGCAGTAATTCTATCTTTGCCTCCTAGTATTGCTATTGACTATGTTGTATATATTGTTTGATTTTTACCTGTCTTTTATGGTCTCTAATGGCTATCCCTTCAGTGTGATTCTCTGCCAGGGAATGAACAATATTAAATAGAGCTAAGACAGGAGTTCACTTGGAGTCTAGTTTTTCATGGACTGCTTTAACACGCACTTCCAATCATTTATTTACTCTCTTTGGTTCTACTTTACTTCTTCCTTGTTATCAGTAGCATAATATTAGTTATTCACTTTCATTTTTATTTTCTTTTTTCATTTCCATCTTTCTAAATGGTTGATGCACTTTGCCTTTCAAATAAAGTTTTGATCTTAAATTTAATAAAAATGTTGCATCAATCATCTATTGCATTACAGGATCAGTTAAGATGAACAAACTTGTTGATTAATAAAATTTCATATGATTTCTATATCATTTTAATGTCTTCCTGTCTTTTTGTCAGATTCCAGACCTTGCTCAAATGGTGGAAAGAAGGGTGCGGTTAATAAGTTCATTGCAATTGGAATTTCTGCTCTATTCTTAATGCTTTTTATGGCAGGGATCATTTGGTGGAAAGGCTGTTTCAGAGAAAAACTCCAAAAGACAGAAGGTGAAGCCAGTCTCCCGATTATCATTTTCAAGGCTTTATTTTGTGAAGTTTCCATCAGAGAAGGAGAAAGAAAGCTTGAATGTACAAAATACCTGTGTTTTATCTGGGTGATTGTTTTGAGTTTAATTACTAGGGAGTTATTTTCTTCAAAATGAATACATATATAACGTTATTCACTAATGTATTTGTTCTGGAATGATACAAGTGGATTGATCTATATTCTATACAAAGGGTATGTAGAAGAGGGGGAGGGAAGTCATGAAGACTTTGACTAACCACAAGCTCATATTCTGATTTTATTTTGTAAAATTTTCCAACTGTTCATGCATGCACCTTAGAAAGAAGCACATTTGAGAAAATCAAGGGTGGACATTTTTTTTTCTTTTTCTTTTTCAAGAAGTTCTTCTTGGGGATACTTTGTGACATCTGATTGGTGGTTTGCTAACTTTGCCTCTTTATTTATTTTCATCGGAGCTCTTTGCTGTTCCAAGCTTTTGGACTCAACTGTCTTCTGCTCACTTTGGTGTTCTATTTCAATAGTCACCTACTCACCTTTCTAGGCTTAACTGTCTCCTGCCCTACTTTGTTCTCATTAATAGTTGCCTTTTCCTTTCCTGCATTACTCCAATTGGCAATATCTACTGGTTACAATGTCTTGGCAATTATATTTTGTATTTGATCAGTATATTTTTGAAGTTCAGAGATGCTTTTACTTTTTCCCTTCACTGAAGCAAGCAATTGAAGGTTAAACAAACTGTTGAAATACACTTTTCTTGCTCTTTCATTCCGTGGAAGTAGATATTCAGACAGGAACTTTCAGCTTCAAACTAATGAGAGCGGCCACTGATGACTTCTCTTATGATAACAAAATTGGGGAAGGCGGATTTGGTCCTGTATACAAGGTATTCTAACTTAATTTCAGATAAATCTTTTTCATCCAAATGACAATCCTTTATGTCCAGGGATGTTGATTTGATGCGTATGAATGCAGGGTCAGTTACCTGATGGTACTGTTATAGCGGTCAAGCAACTATCATCAATGTCACGGCAGGGAAATCGTGAATTTCTAAATGAAATAGGCATAATATCTTGTCTGCAACATCCTAACCTTGTGAAACTCTATGGATCTTGCATTGAAGGGGATCAGCTGCTATTGGTATATGAGTACATGGAAAATAATAACCTCGCCCGAGCTCTATTTGGTGAGTCATCACCTGGCCATAACTTTCTGAACATCTCTCTTGTGGAGTGATCATGTTGAGAACTTTATTAAAAATAGATTCCCTGTAACTCCTCTCAACTAAAATTGTTACGCCCGGTTGATACCATTAGGGAACTCCATCCTTGAACATTAAAGGGGAGAAAGTAATGTTTAGATATTATTTGGTTTATCATTTTATAGGCAATGAGAACAATCGGATTCAACTGGATTGGCCCACAAGAGTTAGGATCTGTATTGGCATTGCAAAAGGTCTTGCATTCCTTCACGAAGAGTCAAGGCTCCAGATTGTGCACAGAGATATCAAGGCTACTAATGTGTTACTTGATGGCAATTTAAATCCTAAAATATCAGATTTTGGTTTGGCCAAGCTCAACGACACAGAGAAGACACACATCACCACTCGAATTGCAGGAACTATGTAACTTGGCTATTCTCAAATAGTACGACTCTGATTTTAATAATTAGTGCTTGTATAATTTACTGGTTATCATTTCTTCTTGCAGAGGATATATGGCTCCAGAATATGCATTATGGGGCCATCTAACATTCAAGGCAGATGTTTACAGTTTTGGTGTCTTGGCCTTAGAAATTGTCACAGGGAAGAGCAATAACAATTATGTGCCAGATAATGGCGCTGTTTGTCTTCTAGATTGGGTATGTTGCTATTGTAAATTCTAATAACTAGTCATCTGTCCTTACTTAACAATTTAAGTTGTGCGGATGGAATGATTTTTAACGACTTTTATGACCAAGCGGTTAGAAGTTCAACTTTAGTTGACTCGCATATGAGAAATGTAGTATATAATAGCAACTGTTTTTAGGTCTTTCATTGCCAGCCTAAATTTAGTTGCTCATAGTAGATAGCGATATTTCAAATTGCAGGCATGTCGATTGGAGCAAAGTGGGAAGTTGATGGAGCTGGTTGATGAAAGAATGGGGTCAAACGTTAATGAAAGGGAAGCAGAAGAAGTGCTCAAAGTTGCTCTTCTTTGCACAAATGCATCACCATCACTAAGACCCACAATGTCTGAGGTTGTAAGTATGCTTGAAGGACAAATGGATATTCCAGATGTAGTTCCAGAACCAGGTGCATGCAATGAAGACTTGAGGTTCAAAGCCTTGAGAGATCTTGACCAATGGTCACGGCGGAGTTTGAATGGAAACCAGACCCAATCTTCAGTGTCAGTCCATACCTTCAGCTTAGAAATTGGCAATACTAATACGGCTTGTTCTGTGGACTGTGTGGATCATCAGTTAGTCCACAGAACTGAGATTTCACCTTCAAAGGCAAGTTCAACACCCTGATGGTTTCTTAGCAGATAGCTCATTGCCTCATTGTATGCTTTGTCTCCATTGTGTCGGGGTTAACATTTTGACCCTCAATCATTAAATTCAACCTACAATTTTGCGGTGCGTATGTAGGGTGAGCGTGAGGGATATAAAGGTTGTGAGTTGTAAGTTGTAACTGTATATAAAATCAAATTCCCTCATTTACACACATTTTCTTTAATTCCCATTGCATAAATTATGCAATCATTCATGTGACAACACACAATTCACATTAGTGAAGCATAATTATTCTAACCGATTGCAATCGAAATGAGAATGAAGATTAGGAGCTTATTTTATCTTCTATTTTGGTGGTAACTCTTGCAAAGATTCATGGGGCAGGAGAAAATGTCTGCACTTTTCTCAATACTGTGATTTATTTCTTTCTCATATCCGTGTATAAATTATTGAGCATGAAACCTGGCTCAATAAATATTGTTAACTAAAATAGTGATATGTTTTTACTTTAAAACCTCAACTCTTACCAACTAATTTTTTCCTGGGAAAATTAGTCTATACACTCTTCTAGTTTTCTTTAATTTTGAACTAGATTTTAGTAGTTTATTTTATTTTATTTTAATTAAATTCATATAATTTGATCTATTAAATTTGTTAGTCCTTGAAGGTTAAAATTATCAATAGATGATTTTTCATAACAAAAATACTTTTAAAATTTTTATAAAATTTGATTTAATATTTTGCCAAAAAAATTAATTTAATAAAGTTTTTACTCTTTTATTAATTTTTTATGAGAATTTTTTATGTATAAAAATCATTTAGAGGACATAATCTAATTTCATAAATTTTGAGTTGTAAAAATTATGTTATTGATTCCAAAATTACAAAATAAAAAATTTAAGAATTTTAAATTTAAAGGATTAAACTATAAGGATTTAATTAAAACAAAATAAAACTAAAAAACTTAATTCAAAATTTAGTAAAAAACTATAAGAACTTGCTGAGTAATTTTTTTCTTTTTCTTTATAAAGTACAAATAATAAGTAGATAACGTTCATTTATAAGGTAATATGTTAAAATGTTATTAAATGTCACCTTAATCACTTCCAAAAATTTTGTCATTAGCTATCGCTGATTAACAAGGAGGAAGATTGTTGAAAAAAGATCCACTCATCTGATCTTATTTATAAGGTAGAGAGAAAAAAAAAATTTGATCATATTTATAAAATACTTACTAATTTCTAAGGCTCTTTTTTATGTTTTTGCCCTTGTTAAATGCTATGAATAAAAACACTAATAATAAAATTTAAGAATATTTATTAAGGGTAAAGGTAAAAGTTTGTTAATTTTAAGACAAATTTAATGAAATTTAATATTTTCTTTAGTTTTGGTGAAACATACTGAAAATAAATTATAAATAAAATAAGGAGGAGTAATGTTTTTGAGCAAGAATCTTCTTTGAGTAATGACACTCAATAGTGGATGAATATTTTAGGAGAAAAAATGCTTTCACTTGTCAATATACTTTCTACTAATTATAATATAGGTCATCTTTTAGAAGTTTTATTTAATTTAAAGTATAAATTATTAGATAATTTTTATAATTTTTTTCAATTATACCTGCACTTCATGAGAATTTTAATTATCATTATCAAAATATTTATATAGAGTATTCAACAAACATAAAATTGAAATATATATATATATATTAAAGAAATTAAGATTTTGACTAATTTTTTTGTAAACCACAAATTAGTTATTAATATTTTACTCCCTCCATTAAAAAATGAGGCATTTTAATCAAATTTTACTTTCAATAAAATAATTACCTACTTTTAAAATAATCTTACCTTTTTATATTTACCTTATTAAATATCATATAATAAATATAAAGTTATTAATTAATAGAGACACTTTTTAAAAAAAACAATAATTTTACCTTGAAAGATTAAAAATACTTTATATTTTTAAATATTCAACTCTTTAAAATATATTTTAAAATTTTTAACGGAGGGATTATATTTTATTCTAGTTATAAATTTTAAAATATTAATTGTTAATTTCTTATATTAAAATTTTTTAATCATGATATGACAATTGTCGAAAGGGTTATTAATAAAAGAAAATATTTTTCTATTTTTTATGTAAATTACTGGTAAATTTATAAAATTACAGTTGTACGTAGTCATTGAAAAAAGCCTAATACATTTAATAAAATCTATTGTTAATTTTCTGAATTAAAATTTTTTATAATGTTTTGTTTGGAAATCCATTGATTCCACGCCAACCAAGGTCTATGACTAGTATAGTGGTTTAGTACCGCCTGTCTCTAGGGAGGCGGTGTAATTTCCTAAACTAAAAATTTAAAAGAATACAGCTGGACGTTAAAAGAATAAATTATTAATAATAATTAAGTTTTTGATAAATTTTTTAAAAAATAAATTAAAAATATTGATTTAAATTATTACATTTAAAAATTTTTATTACAAATAAATTTTTAAATATTAAATATAAGTGTTAAATTGTAATATAATTTTTATATGAAATTATTTGAATTAATATTTATAATTTTATGTGAAACCTAATTGTTATTAATTTATTCTTTTATAATCTGACTATTATTCTTTTCTAAAATTTTTGGCAAATTGACCTTCATGTTATAAAAGAAATTATTTCTCACAATATTACATTTTTAATAATATTTATCTAGATATTATAAATTTGAAATTCGGTCAGCTTAACACCAAGTTTTAAAATTTTTTGTCATAAACGTGCATAGACAACCCAAGTTTTATTTAATTTAAAAAAAATAAATATATGTCTCATCATCTCTTTCTTTCAACAAATTTTTTCTCGTTAGATATAAAACTTGGCTTCTATAGTTCTATTAAGCTAAGTTATATTTAATTTTAAAAAAAATTAAATATATATTTCATTCTTTCTTTTTTCAGCCAAGTTTTAATTAATTATTCAGACAAAATTTAAATTATACAATCTTTATTCTAACATTATTAATTCTATTAAAGACTAAATAATCAATTAAAGTCCCTAAGATGTTAAGAAAGTACTATAAAGATTACATAATATGTGTGTGGGAAGATTTTATAGATTATTAATTATTGAAAAGAAAAAAAAGAAGAAGATTTTAAAAAAAAACAAAGAGGGAGAGAGAATGAATATTGAAACATGAGGCTCGCTAACTTATCTTATTATTTTCAATTTCATTTTTTCTTTTGTGTGTATTACTTCCTCTTTCTTTCTTTCGTTTTTCTCTCGTGGTGTATAGTGAGAAACTGAGACAGAAAGTGAGCAAAATTTTAAAGATGGAGTTCTATAATAGGATACCTTGAACATAATCTCAAGCTTTTTTAAACTATATAAATATTTTAAATATTTTTTTAATCACATACTCTCTTTAATTTTTTATTTTTTGATGATAGAAAATCTAAAGTTTGATATATTTTGAGTTTTTAAGGACTTTAATTAATTATTTAGTATTTAATGAAATTAATGATGTTGAAATAAGGATTTTATGGTTTAAATTTTATTTAAATAATTAATTATAACTTAATTGAAAAGAGAGAAGATGAAATATATATTTAAATTAAATAAAACTTGGCTTGCAAGTTTTATGTACGTTTCTGACAATTTTTTTTTAACTTGGTATTAAGCTGATTAATTTTAAATTTATAGTATTTAAATAAATATTATTGAAAGTATAGAATTGTAAAAAATAATTTTTTTTTAAGAGTATGAAGGTCAATTTGTCAAATTTTTTATAATATGTACGACTGACCTCTCATAATCACCAAGAAGTTCAACTTCACTTTATTCGCCTTCATCATGCCTTAGATTTGAAGCCGCATTCGCTGACTACCAATCCCGAAAATATGGCGTGATTTGATTTAGAGCCTTTCATTCCTTTTCAAATGATCTTACGCGTTCATTGAAAATTACTTTTAAAATTTTTATATTATATTTGTCAAAATAAAAATACATAAAAATTATAACATTAAACATGAATTGTTGTTTTATGTGTATTGGAGGACAAATACCATGGCACTTATCACCCCTCTTTAAATTTGGACAGTTTAAAAGTTTTTTATTTTTATCTGAAATGATATAATTTTATGTTAATTTTTTAATAATTTTTATAAATTAATTATCTAAATATACTATAAACAATACATATACAATATGAAATATTTAATTTAATATAAAAAAAAAATTTTAACTAATTGACTGTATAGATTATTCTAGACAACCCAGATTTAATATTATTATTTTTTATAATTTTTATTTTAATGAATATAATATAAAAATAATTTAAAATTAAAAGTAGCTATGGTTTGAGAAAAAAAATAAGGAATCCAAATCACCTATAAGACAATGAGCACGTGGTGCTAAATGCGGTTCCCATGGATTTGAATTCTAACTTTGGATTAAAATTACGGCTTAGTGTGTAAAAAACTAAAAATATCATAACTTAAAATTTTTAAATTAAATAATAGGACAAAATATTTATTAACTTTATAAAGAAAATTAATTAAATTTTTTCACTCTGTTAAAATAGTTTGATAATTCACAATTTTTTTATAAAGTTAATGAATATTTATACATTATAATTTATTAAAAGTTATTGAAAAAAAAAGTTTTTGAATATTTTTATATCTTAAACAATTAAATCAAAAAGTCCAAAGATTAATAGTCGTTCGTACCAGCACCTCTTCCATGCTAGGGAGTGGCGTCGCTCACAACTTTCTGATTCTGCCTTTTCATTTGGTTTTGACGCGCATCAAATTCGCATTGGGCGCCGCGTGGCAGACAGTGATGCCGCTCACTGCGTCTGCTCCTATCAGTCACCTCCTTCTCTCCCACTACTTCCATTTTCCCGCCACTCGCCCACTCACTCCTCCACCTCCTTTTGTTTTTAAATTTTTTTCGTGAAGCATTGGTGAATGGTGATATCCCCAGACTAAACCCCAGCAACTACGTCTCAAAGTGACGTCTTTTTAGACGGAACTCTTGTGTCTAACGTCAACCAATTCCTTTTACAAAGCCTTTCTTCGTTTCTACTCTTGCTTTGTGCCTCCTATTCTTTACTTGCATGCTTTGCATTCTTCCACTTCCTCATTTTCTTTCCAGAACCAGAAATGGTGACGCTAGGCCTCGCCTCTCCCACTGCTTCCTCCACCACCAACTCTCTCATTCTCCATCCCCAACCTCAAGCACTTCATGTCGCTCCCATCGCAACCTCTTACAACGAGTGGATTCGCCCTGTTCTTGATGCCATTGAGAGCCTCAGGCGCCTCAACATCTCCCAAGAAGGCGTCCACCTTCCCTCCATTGTTGTTGTTGGTGACCAGTCCTCTGGTAAGTCCAGTGTTCTTGAATCACTTGCCGGAATCAGCTTGCCTCGTGGCCAGGATATCGTCACCAGGGTCCCTCTAATCATGAGGCTCCAAAACCATCCTCTTCCGAAACCTCAACTGGTCTTGGAATATAATGGCAAATCTGTGCCTACAGATGAGGCCCATGTCTCCGACGCCATTAATGCTGCCACGAATGAGCTTGCAGGCAAGGGAAAAGGCATATCCAATGCGAGGTTAAGTTTGTTGGTGAAGAAGAATGGGGTTCCTGATCTCACAATGGTGGATCTTCCGGTATTACTCGGGTGCCTGTTCGTGACCAGCCTGAGGATATCTATGACCAGATCAAGGGAATTATCATGGAGTATATAAAGCCAGAAGAGAGCATTATTCTCAACGTTCTGGCAGCCACTGTTGACTTTCCTACCTGTGAATCCATCAGGATGTCACAGAGTGTGGACAAGTCAGGAGAGAGGACTCTGGCTGTGGTCACAAAGCCTGACTTGGCTCCACAAGGCCTGCTGGAGAAGATCACTGCTAATGATGTCAATATTGGTCTTGGGTATGTGTGTGTGAGAAATCGCATTGGGGATGAGTCCTACGATGAAGCTCGTGTGGAAGAAGCTAGACTCTTTGAGACCCACCCACTTCTCTCCAAAATAGACTCATCAATTGTGGGTGTTCCAGTTTTGGCACAGAAGCTGGTTAAACTTCAAGCACTTAGCATATCCAAAACACTTCCAGAGGTAGTCAAAAAGATTAATGACAAGTTCACGTTATATCTGTCCGAACTGGAGCGTCTACCCAAGAATCTCGCTTCAGTAGCGGAAGCTATGAGTCTTGTGATGCATAAAATCGGCTTAGCTGTAGAATCACTGAAGAAAATTCTGATCAGAGCAGAATTTGATGAGTACACAGATGAAAAGAGCATGCACTGCACGGCTCGCCTTGTTGATATGCTGAACCAGTACTCGAATGATCTCCACAAATGTCCTGCAAGTGATCCCGCCAAGAACTTCTTGATGGAGGAAATAAAGGTTCTTGAGGAAGCCAAATGCATTGGACTACCGAACTTCATGCCTCGCACTGCTTTCTTGACTGTCCTACAACATAAAGTGAGAGGGATTTCAAGCATCCCAGCTGGTTTTATCGATAAGGTATGGGACTATCTTGAAAGCGTGGTGCTTAATGTTCTGATGCGTCACACAGAACACTACGAGCTTCTCCAGAAGTGTACACGACGGGCGGGGCGGAATCTCATTGCTAAGATGAAGGAGCAATCTATCAACTACGTGATGAGCGTGGTGGAAATGGAAAAGCTGACTGATTTTACTTGCAATCCTGAGTACAGTTCTGAATACAACAAACTAATGGCTCAGAAAGATGTTTTCATGAAAGGTAAAAATCAAAAGCTAACTCAGATAAGCCTTCAAGATATTGGAGACGTTGAAATCGCTCATCTGGAACAGTACCAAGCACTTGACACTAACCAAGCATTTGACCTGAAGATGAGAATCACTGCATATTGGAAGGTAGTGGTGAGGAGGCTCATTGACAGTACTGCTCTTCATCTTCAGTTCAGCATCAACACCCTTGTGAGCAAGGATTTGGAGCAAGCGATTATTAATGATTTGATGGGTCCATGTGGGGGTGGTATTGAAAGCTTGCTGGTGGAACCTCCTTCAGTTTCTGGGAAGAGAGAGAGGATTAACAGGGGCCTTAAAGTTCTCAGAGAATGCAAGGAAGTTGTGGCCAATATCATGGATGAAATCTCAAGTTATAGGGTTTAGGATTTGGTGTCTGTTTGTTTATTTTGAAGTGCGTGTTATGGTTCTCATCTTAATCTTGCAACTAGCAAGGAATATTAACTAGAAGAAAGGAGTAACAAAGGATTTGGCTCCTGTTTGTTTATTTTGAAGTGTGTGTTATGGTTCTCATCTTAATCTTGCAACTAGCAAGGAATATTAACTAGAAGAAAGGAGTAACAAAGGGTCAGTTTCTGTTTATCGTGTTCTGATATTTTGAAAGCACTGTGATTGCAGCTTGATCTGTTTTACATCCCCTCATCATTTGTCTGCTTTATTTTCGTTAATCCTTGTATTCTGATTATCTCCCTAAGGTAAAATTTGTATTCAGATTTTTTAGCAACACAGTTGAAAGCACTTTTTTTTAATCTAAAAATGTTTAGGTGAGCTAATTTCAGGCTTAAAGAATACTTCAAGAGGCATTTATAATTGTCTATCAAATCCTTATTAGCAGGATTTGAACATAAAAAGTTGAGGATTATGGCTTATGGTCAAATCTTTAGTTGAAAGTGTATGTAACTGTTGTTTTGAATACCCTTAGATATAGTTGAATTTATTTTATTTTTAAATATTTTGATATTTTTATTGTTCTTAATCAATAAAATAAAATCATTGTTCTTTATTTTTTTCGTTACAAATGTTAAGGAAAAAATATAAATACTTTATTTGAAAAAGATAAAAATAAATAAATCAAATTTTCATTTATTTGACTCGAGAATTAGTTGAAAAGTGAAAATACCCTTTGACTCTGATGAAAATTATATGTTAAATGAAAAGATAGTAAATAAAAGAGAAAATTAGTCAAAAAAATCATGTTAAAATGGAAATTGGTCTCAAGGGCCAAAATTATTATTTTATACATTTAATTACTTCCTTATCTTACCAAAATTCCCTTGTGCCCTATCCACTTTTCATTGTTTTTGTGACATGTAGTATAGAAACCACCTTATTACAACCCATAATCCTTTATGTTGTGGCTAACCCAAAAATAATACATCCATTGTGGCTAAACGTACATTTGCCATGGCAAAAGCCTTGTATCAGAATAGATATATGTAGCATTAATTTTCCTAATCTCTATTGCACCTAATTAATAGTTCAGAGTCTTGATTAGTGTAGTTCAAGTGCCCACACGTAGCTAATTTACCAAATTATATATTGAATGGCTCATGTCTCACCTCAAATCGGTAATAAATGAAGATCCTAAAATAGTTAGTGCCACACAAGCTTTTGTTCCAAAGGTACCCCACTAAGCATCTCCATTCCATAAAGCCATTCACCAATGATATAAAATGCAAATATATATCAATCATATACAATCATGCATAACTCAATCTACTTAGATTTAAACATTTCTCCTCAGCATGCACACATTTGCATGGTTGCTTTCTCCTAAAAACTAAAGGCCAACAACAAAAAAATACCTAAGTTAAACAATAAGGCTACATTGAAATGATTGTAATCTAATTAATTAAAACTTTGTGTTGCAAATATATGCTTCATTATAACAAAAAGGCAACTAGAGCTATTATAATACAACCCTCTAATGCTTGGCCTCAAAGGTTTCTCCTTTTTTAATTATTCACCTTATCATCTCCTTGAAAACATTAATAAATGGGAGTGAGATTAAATAATTTTAGTAACCAAGCATTTTAACTAAAACATATTAAAGTATGGCATTTACATCAGGTGGACAGATAATATCACACAAGGCAAACTATACATTAATCACAATGCTACATATAATCATGATTTGCATGATCAATGCAATCATCTTATACCACTTCTTCTGTTTTTTGATCGAATCCATAAGCTAATGACTCATATAGTTCTAACTCATAGGCTAGGTTAGTCACGCTCTCCAATCATAAGGAGTTATTTAGCCAAAGGTTCTTATAATGTCTGTCTTGATATTATCAAACCATTTCCCACATAACACATAAATTATGTACAACGAAAGCATTTAGGAATACATAAATATCATACAGTAGAAAATAGGAGCAAAATAGTCATTTTATCTCACAATAGACCATATGTCGTGGTATGTGGTACAGAGAACAAAATCACACCTCTATGTCATATGCCATGGTGTACATGATAGATTTTGCTATCATAATAGTTTAACTGACATGAACTTTTAGCATGCGCTATTTCCACATATGATGTCTGATTTGAGTGATTTAAGCACCCATATAAAGCTTATTTTATAATATAACTAATCACACAAGTTTCACCTAAATTCGATATTTCTTTTAAAAATTAAACACCTGAATGCAAAATAATCATTTTATGTTATTTTCTCACACCCTAACCTTCCAAATTAATTCCTTGTGTCATTAATCATTACTAGGGCTTTGACCACATTCATTGGATAGTTTTCACTTAATTGAATAGTTATAACATAAAAAATGCAATTACATTTAATTTTGTCTACTCAAATTTCATACTTCACAATAAGGCTATTTATAGAATCACACACACACACACACACTCTCTCTCTCTCTCTCTCTCTTTCTCTCTCTCTCGGGCCAAATTTCACACACTTATAGGCCAAATTTCGCACATACAAAGTCACAAAACACATAATCTTGTATTTATACTAATATTTTAGCCCTCACTATCACAGTTCATACATTTTTACATTGTAGAGTTAAGATACTCATACATACTCATACAAGTGTAACAAAATTACATGTATGCATTCCTACGGCAACTTATAAACATTTATATTTACAACCAAACAAATTCATTACACAAGCTTGAGAAGGCTATGTAGCAAATCCACTACTCTTGACCTAAGTCTTTCCTTTTGCTCCTACTAGTGTCAGAACGTGTAAAATAGTACCATATGGTGAGACAAATGTCCTAGTAACCATAATAATCCAAAACTATCTGTTAATAATTAAAATTATAAACAAGTAAATAAAGCATAATTATTCCCAATCTCACACACACACCCCCATATTCATATACATGATCATCCTATCCAATCGAACCTTCATATACACCTCAACTAAATTCATAAGCTCCACTAGATCAATTTTATGTAAATAGATTTGAGCTCACCTTTTAAGGTAGAATCAGCTAGTCAAAAGTGTTTTGTCCCACTTTTGAACTATAGGTTCCCTCTATCACACACGCAATCGGTTGTCATTATTCTAGCATAGCATCGCACAAATGCTAAGAAGTAAAATCTCCAACACCACATCCACTTAAGTACTAAGGAGAGAAAATTCTCCAACACCATACTCCTTTCGAGCACTAAAGAGAATATATTACAATGTCATATGGACTTTCGCACTACTTCATCTAAGGTAACACTGGGAATTCAAGCTATGGGCTGGCCATTTTGCTGGTTAGTTTGGGTTAGCCCTCTAAAAAATAGGCTGAAAAATCTAACCTAATCGGTACATGTGCGGGTTAGTGGGTTGGGGGCCCAGCCCATAAAAAATTCTATTTAATTGTTTTTTAAATCACAATAATTCTTGCAAGTTCATCTAAAGTATAATCATTTTGGCCTTGCATCTGGTAATAAATTACAACACTTGCCTAAAAGACGAACAATACTTAAATTTTTTTTATAGGCATAGGTAAATCATACCACAATGTAAAAGAAGGGGAAGAATTCAAAATAATAACAATAGCAAATATCGGCACCTCCATGAAATTTTTGGGAATAGATAAGTAAAGAAAGGGATAAGAAGGTTGAGGATCTTACTTCACTTAGTGAGTACGAGGAGCCGAGGATGAGGAGAATGACAAATTAAATTGATCTATCAGTGATCATAAGAGTAGCTTAAGGATGAGAAAGTTGGTGGCAGCGAGCAAAAATCATTGACGAGAAGAGGAGGAAACTTGTAAATCTAGGCAAGTTGAGCCTGACAAAGAAAGAGGCCATGGTTGACGAGGTGCACTAGATTTGAGCATGAAGAAGAATTAAAGAAGAAGCTACAACAGTGATAGAGGTTGATGGTCGAGCTATAATAACAAGAATGGATGGACAATACAAGGGGTGACAACAGCATAATGAATAATGAAATCAATGAACTGCGGAAGCTAGATGAGAATGAAATTGCATTTTTAAGGTGAGTATTGGCTTAAGTGCTAAACTAAAATGAATAGGAGGGAGAAGTCAAACAAAAAATTCCAAGGGAAAGAGTGAATGGAAATAAAAGTGATACTGACAAGGGAGAAAGTTATACTCATATCACATGTACAGACCTCTCTAGCTTTTAGGACACATGACACATCAAGCAAGTCTAGGAAAATGGGATGGGAGTTATATGGGGGGATAAAAGGGTTTAACTTCAGACATAATTTTTTTTTTAAAAAAATGGGCCAACTTGTGGGTTAAGCAAGTTGGCCCGCCTAACCCGCGAGCTAAAGTGGGTTAGCCCATATAACTCGTTTTAAAAAATAGGTTCATTTTTGTGACCCAAACCATAAAAATTTACTAGGTAACAGGTTGGCCCAGTGAGCTCAACCCATATTCTTAGCTCTAATCTAGGGTGAACTCCCATCCTCTATTATAATCATATCTTTTCACTTAATGTACAATCATCTATCCACATATATACAAGATATTTTTCATACCATTCTATCTTTTAAAATAAATTCCTTTAACATGCATAGATTATTTTAAAACTTGTTTGGATTTACAAAATCATGCAAGTGTACTATTGTATATATGTTATGTTATAAACTTTACTTGTAAATAATCTAACTAGCCAATAAACAGTATGAATTATCTTATTATCTCAACCCTTCTGTTTCTGGAAAGGTTACCTATGGTACTTTTGCTTTCTTATCTAATACTTGCTCAAACTATACATGTGAGCCATGGTAATCTACACAACTAAGCATTATATGTCAATTATGAATTGACCATAAGTACTTATTAAAACAATTAAACAAAATTAAGTTTACTTAAACACCTAATCACTTTCATTTAGCAACCTTACATCCTAACCACCTTCCATAACCCTTCCACAATACTTGTTAGCTTCCATACAATCTATAGAATATTTTCCACTCTTTTAAACTTCTTAATTTTAGGTTAAATTGAGCCTATAATCTTAAAGATCAACTACTAACCACCAAACCAGTCACAAATTCTTAGTTTAACTCCCAAGAACTTTTTCATGCTAAAGGGTAAAAAAGCAATCCCTTACAACTCCCCAATTTAATTTATCTACATCCTAAATTAAGAGAAATTAAGGTAGAATTCGAGAGTAGGGAGACACAAAACCTACTAGACAAGTAATAGGTTGGAACTAACTCCTAGGTGG